ATCCGCCTCTCCGCGCCCGCCGCCATACAGGTAGCGGGGCTGCCGCGGGGAGGGGTGCCCCGAAAGAGGCGTTGGGCAAAAGGGGGCTCGTCCCTCCCAGGGGACGTGTCCGGCCCCGGGGCGGGTGGGCGGTGAGGTGAGGTGACTCCCCGTGTCCCTGGCGTGTGGGGAGCCCCAGGGTTCTGCCCCCGCCCTGCCCAGCTGCCGGTGTCTCGCAGGTGACGGTGCGGGACGCGCTGAACCAGGCGCTGGATGAGGAGCTGGAGCGGGACGAGCGCGTCTTCCTGCTGGGCGAGGAGGTGGCTCAGTACGATGGGGCCTACAAGGTATGTGGATGCCGTTACCGGGCCGGGAAAGGCCCTCAGGCGGGCCCTGACTCCTCTCTCCTGCCCTGCAGATATCCAGGGGTCTCTGGAAGAAGTACGGGGACAAGAGGGTGATCGACACCCCGATATCAGAGGTAAGGCTGCCCCCCCTCCCACCCTGGCCGTCCCTTCAGCAGCCGCTCCCCTGGTCCTCATCTCTTGGTATTCTTCTCTTTTAGATGGGCTTCACAGGAATCGCTGTCGGTGCCGCTATGGTTTGTAAATTTGCATTCCTCTACTTCTGATTTAAAAATATAAAATAAACTGGTTTTACCTAAAACCATACTCAGTATTTTAATATATTTTAATAGGCGGGGTTGAGACCGGTGTGTGAATTCATGACGTTCAACTTCTCCATGCAAGCAATCGATCAGGTTATAAACTCCGCAGCCAAGACCTGCTACATGTCTGCGGGATCGATCGCTGTTCCCATCGTCTTCCGGGGCCCCAACGGCGCCTCGGCTGGCGTCGCCGCCCAGCACTCCCAGTGCTTCGCAGCGTGGTATGGACACTGCCCAGGGCTGAAAGTCGTCAGTCCTTGGAGCTCAGAAGATGCTAAAGGTCTGCTGAAAGCATCAATCCGGGACGATAATCCAGGTGAAGACAGGTGGATCGTGGCGATACCTAGCACTCCATCCTGAAAAGAGTGTCTGTTCTCCCCTCCTGCCCCATTTAAAACAAAAAATTGTTAAACCCTTTTTACTTAAGGTTGCTTTACTGCAGCTTTAAGGTACAAAGGCACGAAAGTATGCTTTTCCTTGCTAGCAACAGGCTGATTTTGTGCTGTGACCAGCTACGTATCTTTGGCGCCACATTGGTGCCAATCATGAAACTTAGAAGCATTTATGAATCTACTGTAAATGTGTTAAAAAGGGTGAAGGTGAGTCAGGAGCAATTCCTGCATGTATAAATAGTATCTGCGTAACTCATTTTTACAAATCATGAAGTTCAGATGATAAATTCAGAATGTCGTTAATTAAAAGCAGGGCAGCCTTTGTATTTAATTTTTCACAAACGTGCAAAATCTAAGACCTTTCTAAAACTAGCAGTTCTACTGTCGTGTTCCAGAAGTTCGCCTTGTTTTATTTGAAAATTAGTTGTAGATTTTTTTTTTTAATAATTGAGCATTGAAGTAAAGATTGAGGGTTTGGGGTTTTTTTTAACTACTTCCATAAACATAGTCCAGTCCTTGCTGCCTGGATGGGCTTAGTACCTTAAGCTAGTGTGATGCAGTACCATTAATCATTCCTGTTCCTGCAGATGTACACGTTAATGCAAGTATGTTTTCTTCTAGTTGTGATGCTGGAAAATGAATTACTGTATGGTGTTCCCTTTGAAATGTCTGAACAGGCACAGTCAAAGGATTTCATTGTTCCAATTGGAAAAGCTAAAATAGAAAGGCAAGGTAAGCTGGGAGTAGTTTGTTTCCTTATTAACTGAACTCCTTAGAAACTTCTAAAAATTATTTAGCTATTCAGAACACTGCTGCCATGTGGCACAGAAAAGTATTTCAAATGTTAAAATGTTATTTTTATCCACGTTATTTTTACTTTATTGTTCTGTTGCCCATGTAAGGAAAGCTCACCTGATTCTGTATTCATCTAAAACTATACCCTTCTAAAGGATTTCTTCTGTAATACAGAAATAGGTGATGGCTGAAAAATTTTTTTCCTCACCTTAGTAGGTCATTTTTGTCAAAAATGCAGAAAGAGGTCACTGTAGTATTTCAGCCCATTTGTTCATAATTTGTGTGAATGGTATGTTTGAATGTATATAAATGTCTGAAAAGGATAATCTGAAAACTATATGAAATACTTCTTCAGTGCCCTGAATTAAAGAACAGAGTTCTTGTCTTAGCAAGTCCTTCTGCTACCACTCTTCATGCTGTGTATGAGTGTAGAATACTCAGCATTTCAGATAAACATATGGAACTTAATGTTAGGATTCTGTTGTAAATTTAACTTGAAAGGAGCCTGGTATCTAGAAAAAAGCTTTAAATCTTGAGGGTTTATTTCTTTTTTTAACACTTGTTTCTCTTCTAGGAACTCATGTTACATTAGTGTCACACTCAAGACCTGTCGGACATTGTTTGGAAGCAGCTGCTGTACTTGCCAAAGAAGGTGTAGAGTGCGAGGTGGGTGGGTTTATGTTGCTTTTCTCTTTCCCTGAAGTGGGGGGAAAAAAAGCAGAAGGTCGTCTTATTCTGGCTTTGCAAAACTTGAGTGTGTTAACTACAAGCTTCTTACATCTGTAAAAGCCTTAACAGTACATGCTTTTCATGTTCCTGCATTTCGTGTTTCTGCATTTGACCTTTTCATCACAAAATTAAGACAGAACTACTAATGATTTTCAGATTGACCCAGCTGTATGGTGAGCACAACAATGACAGCATGTATTAGTATGGCTGTATCTCAGTATAGTCAGACTGACCTATCTGGGATTTTCCAGGAGCCACCAGAAACTGTTCCACAGGTTCTCTGCCAGAATAAAAAGTTAGAAATTTTCTTAACTTTGAAGTCTTGTCTTTGAAGTCCGAATAGATGAAAGTGCTAAAGGGCACTGTAGCCAAGCAGTTGGTAACTGACAGGCTTAGATCATAGCAAAACTCACACAGTGGCCCCCCCTGCCCCTTTTTTTTTTCTTTTTTTTTTTGTTTCCCCAGGTTATAAACCTGCGCACCATTCGCCCAATGGATATTGAAACAGTGGAAGCCAGCGTTGTAAAGACAAACCATCTCGTCACCGTAGAAGGAGGTTGGCCACAATTTGGAGTAGGAGCTGAAATCTGTGCCAGGATCATGGAAGGTACCAGGTTTTGCATGTTAATCTCACCCCCTAGTCTAAATCCCGACAACTTCTTGATAAAGCCAGATGAAGGCAAAGTTAGGGTTTTATATCTGAGCAGCTTGAGCCGAGCTGTCTTGCTCTAGAGATTTTCACAGGGTGGATCCAGTTTGTCTCCAATTGCAAGTAATACTTATCCCAGGAACATGACTGTGTGAGAAGTGGGATGGAAACTTTTTGTCTAAACCACAGCACGTGAAGATAAATGAGCAAGGAACAGTGCTCGCTGGAATATTAGAGCTGTGGGAACAAAATTGTTTAACTAGATTCAGAAATTGGGAGAAAACCACAGTGCGTGGCAACCTGACAGCTGTCTTTTGTTTCAGGATCTGCCTTTAACTACTTGGATGCTCCAGCTGTGCGTGTTACCGGTGCAGATGTTCCTATGCCTTATGCAAAAATTTTAGAAGATAACTGCATACCTCAGGTGAAGGATATAATATTTGCAGTGAAGAAAGCTTTGAATATCTAAGTTGTAAATACATGTTTTAAAGTTCTCCTTTACAAAGTGTTAATGGTGTTGGGCAAGTTGTATGCATAACTTCTGTTGTATAGCTACATGAACTTTTTGTACAGTGGGGAAGCTATTGTGACCTCCCAGGGTATTTATATGGGGTTACCCTCTAAGCCACACGTCATAGAAGCAACAGTGTGGTAATGCTTGTTTGTTCAACAGTACAGGTGGGAGAAATCCTATTCTGAATTCAAAATGAGGAAAAAATCCTCCATTTCTGCTTGGGTTGTAATTACCAGGCTAGCTGTGGCAGTGGTAGTTGAGGGAAGAGGTCTGGAGTCTGGTCCCAGAGTGCTGCAGGGCTCTCGAGGAGCTCATGGTCATAAGGCTTATTAAAGGTGAATGGTCGAACTGGAGTGAGTGGAGCCATGCTTTTCAGTTCACTGAAGTGCAACCCTCTGCACATCGTGGCTGTGGAAGCCTGCAGGATGGGTTAAGAATGGGAACGAGCACTCTGCTCACATGGGAAAGCTTCTGCGCAAGAGCTTAGATAAAGATCCTGCTCCTCTGCAGTACATAACAGGAAACACTACCTAATTTTTCTTTACTAGCTGCCACAGTGATTACAAAAAAACCCAACTTGCCCAGATGCTTTGCTTTTATGTTTTGGGGGTTTTTGTAAACTCATCACATGGGCTTGCTCAAACTATAATTGTTACAGTGCAAAATAAAAATAAGTTATTTTATTCAAACGCACAAAGCTTGGGTCTGAAGCAGCAGCTGTGTAGGTTGTGTGTGAAGAACTGGGAGACCGTTGCAGCAGCCCTCTGGCAGATGAGCACGTCCCAGGGTTTAGCTGAGGAGCTGCTGGGGCCTTTGGTCAGCACCTTTGGGTACAGCGAAAGGTGCCTGTAGGAGCCTGTGCTGTACCCTGGGTAGGGTGCCTCTCCCCTCAGCTCTTGGAAATACCACGAAAGCAGACAGGAGAGCTCGGGTTCTCTTTCACTCAAGGGCCAGGAATACCTTTTAGGGTATTTCCTTTGGCAGAAGTGCTGTTAAGTTTTTGGGAAGTCTGGCTTGCAGGTGCAATCCTAGCTGAATATACCCACCACCACGCTGCTGAAGGAATTCCATTAACATTTTAATAAAAATGACTGAATATCACAGGTTACATGAAACTTTGTACAGACATTCTCTGCATAGTAACAAACACTGATGTACTTGAATTTAAAAAATGGATTATCTATAATCCTTTAAAGTGCAATTTGTTTAAGGTTTTAAATCAAAAAGGATGTTTCAATAAAGTTTAAACTGTAGAATTAACTTGAAGTAACTTTGCATTTAACTAAATCAAGAATAATATCCCAGTGCCCTATTAACTCCCATTTCAAGTCTTTCCTGATTTAAAACACTTTTCCTTAAGAGTTACAGGTAGGATGTCCATTTAAACAAGTTTAATGAGACAGCATTTTTCACTCCACCAGCAAATACGGTGGGAATAAGATTTAATTCTCCAGTTCCCTCACCTGTGCAGTATGTTTTAAGGGTTGGGGGAGTTGGGTTCTCTAAAACAAAACCTGCTGATTCAATGCAGCAAGAATGAAGGTGAGTTACAAGTGCATGAAAAGAGCTGAAAAACTGAGCAGATTAAAACTACATTCCTGTAATTTGGAAAAAAAAAAAGTGGTGGAATAGAGCTAGGAAAAAAAAAAAAAGCATTAATTCACCATGATCATGGTCATTCCTATTTTGAGATTTTTATTCAGCTATATAGAAGTTGCTGTACCCCTGAAACTGTAGCTAGAGAATAAAGTTCTTGAAACCAAGTAAAGAATGGAGTACTTATCACAGCATGGCAACGCAATTCGGGCAGGGCAGTTCTGCTACTCGAGGAAAGCTGAAACGGGGTAAATTGGCCGCTCTGCGCTGGTGGATCAGTCGCCAGTCAGGAGGGTCCTGTTCCTAACAGCACAGGAGGGGGACAGGGAATTCAATCCTGCTGTGGCCAGTGGCCTCAGGTGATCCGGGGAGCGCTGTAGTCGCAGGTCTGTGTTTTCTTCAGCGTTCCTTTCTGAAAGTTTTGAATGGAGCTGAGTAAGGCTCCTCGGCTTGCGCTGACATCGGGCTGCGGGCTCGGCTGCGTTGGCACCTCTGTACTCGGAGGAGGAGCTGCTGGTGGCAGGGGTGGCGGTGGCGGTGCTGGGGGTATCGACGATGCTCCTGTTGAGTTGAGGAGAGAAGATGGAGTTTGATTATGCCAAGGAGGTCCTGCCGCAGAGGACTGCGGCTGCTTAGCTGGACTTGGTCAGTCCTGCACTAGTCACGTCATTCCTTGAATGCCAGTGGAGTGTGAAGAACAAAACAGATGAAAAATGCCAAAGTGATCAAATCCCTCTATCTGCAGGTGAGTTGTGTCATCTGAGACACCTCTGAAATGAAGCGCCTCAGTGCTCGGGGATGCAAAACGTGACTCGTGCATGATCTTGCACTGAGGGAAATGGAGATCCCTTAACAGGACTTCCCAGCTTCAGCCTCTCTTGTTTATCTCCACTGAAGCAACTTGGTCTTTGGTCATGAACAGTAACAAAGACTGGAAGCCAATCTTAGTACTTGGTTTTATTTTATGACTAACTTTACATTCTTACAGAGGACTGCATCCCTGGAGAATTTGTGATGACTGCTTGGTCAGATTTTCCTCCATTTTTAAAGTTTAACTGCAGATAGAGTGTTCTGGAAATGTTTTACACTTCACAGTACTGTCAGACTTTCTCCAAACACATCGTAACAAATGCTTGTTTCACAGGCTGAATGAATCACAGCAATCTGCCCCTCGTGTTCCCCCCAGTCACCTCTGCGCTCTGGCCCTTGCTTTCTACCCCAGTCACGCCCATCTCGTGCTTCTCATCGTGGCTCAGCCTCCAGCTCCTGCCCCCGGGGAAGGCAGAGCCCGCAGCAGGGACCTGTGTGGAGCTGCTTCCCGGCAGCTGGGAGCCCTGTTTGCCCCAGGCAGCTCTCCCAGACACCCTGATCTTGTGCTGCTGCCCACTGCAGCATCATTTCTACACGAGTACAAGCAAAGATCCAGGCAAGAGTAAGAGTAAAGGGCTTCAGAGGTGACCATTTGCCCTTCCACAAGACATCCACGGGAAGGTGGCATTTGCAGCCCCTCACCAGCTATATGGGGAACGATGGGCCTCTCTTGTCTCACAGGTTCTGGAATAAGCAGGGGAATAGTAATGAGTATCTTGGAACTATTCAACAGTCAATTTGAACTCTATCATCTAGATCATGAGTTATTCCGTAGTAAGACTAGAGAGACAAATAGCATCTATAAAGACTTGCTTCCAGTAGCCTAACCTACTAAGGGGAACATAAGTGACAGGAACTGTGATACTAAAGGACAACAAAGCACAACAACATGAGGCCAGCCAAGAGACTGTGGTTACTGACATGGCACTGCTTGCTATGAAGTAAAGAAAATACCAAACAGGTGAAGGACATGATGCCACACAGACTCAAGAAGGATTCAATGAAGGATAAAGCTCGGCTACTGGGGAAAAAAAAAAAAATGCAGGCAAAGTTATCTATCTGTGCTCCGTTGCTCACTAACAGTTGCTCTCAGACTAACAAGTAATAGTAAAAACTTAACTGCTCTAATTAAAAAAAGCAGTTACACTAGATGGGAGTTGTAACTCAAAGCTTCCTCGTTTTCTATTTGTACCAGTGTTTGAAGAGAGGCTTTTCCCACACGGGAGCAAGCTCAAAATGCCGAGTGTTCACACAAAGCCTCCGACCTTGCCAGTGTACGTTAATACGTGCTGTGAGTGTAGCACTTCCAAATCTTCAGGAGAAATTCTCATTGGCATGAAAACCTTCTGTGACAACAAAACATGGAAGTACATATTGGGCTCATCTTCACTTTCCTCCCTTCCAGAAGAAATACTCAAGTCCTAATAGAAATATCGGAGAGCAAACGAAACAATTTAACATGCCTGTTGCATGTGGATCAACTGCGCTCTCAAGTAATCAAAACATGACACAGTGTTAGCACAAACTGAAATAAATTGCATATTGATGCCTTGGGGCCATCTAACTTACCCAAATCTCTTTTACACTAGCCAAATATGGAAGCCAATTTATTATTAGAAAAAATGGAAAACCATCCCCTTAGGTTAGAGTCCTGTTTCTCACATGTGTACAGACTGACAGCAACGCAAAACTGGACACTTTGCCGAAGGAAGAACAAGACCGAGAACAGTTCAGGTAACAACTTTTGTGGCTAAAGCGGTCAGAGGAGAACACTGTAGGACTCATGTACCAACGCTATCACCAAACTGACTGGACGAACTACTGTAAGAGAGCCAGGATCAGCTAATTGTAAATGAAATGGCTTGAAAGAGGTGGAAGAATTGCAGAGAACAAAGACAAGATTTTTTTGGTTCAGAATTTTAAGGCGAGGTTGAAGAGGCTACACAAGTAGTTTTCCAAAATGCAATAGGGAATGACCATGAGAACAGGGGCCAGAACTCTGTATGGCATACAAATACAGTGGTAACATGTGCAGTGAGAGAAGGAACACATCTGTCAGAAACGGAAGAAAAAAGCCACAAAATGCTTGGATCACTAAGTAGTATTCGGCCAAGATTCCATGTGTGATCTTCAAATTTTGGCCTAGTTATTTTACAATGGGGGTGCAAAAGACAGGGAAGCAGGGGGGAGAGGCCACCTTCCTTCCTGTAAAATTGTTAAATTCCTCAGGACTCACTACTGAAACTGAGCTGCCAGCCACATACAGTTAAACTCTTGGGAGACTGATTACAGACAACGATACTCTTACACCTGAGCTCTGCCTTAAAATGTAAACACACACAAGGTTTAGAATGGTATCTGACTAGCTATGAGCATTATATATTGAACCTATTAATTAAGAGCTTGATACCGAAAATCTTCACATTTATTCATTTCAGTCAATCAAAACCAAGCTGTCCTTCCCTTCTTGATGCGAGTGGTGCAAAGGAAATCTTGGCTCACATTTGTGTACTCATATGCAGTTACATCTACAGATTAAGTGGTTCTGCCCAACAGTGAAGTATTTTTCTGTATTTACTAGAAAAAAAAAACCCAACATTTGAGACAAGTGCTCAGTTACCATTTGACCTTTCCAACACATATGTTGGAAGAAGTTGCCTGAAAACACACATTTTACTCATTCATGCAGTTGTAAGAATAAAACACTCAAACAAGAACTTACCAAGGGTTTTTTACAGGGACAGTTTTGTTAAAAGAGTGTGTTAAAAGGAATAGGAAGTAAATCAGATGCTGTAAACTTGATGCCTGAATTGAAACAAAAACTTAATTATGAATTTAAAGTGACAGTAATTGTGCAAACAGCATTAAAAACTTGGCTGAGAATGGGATGCAAACAAAGAAAATCATTTTAGTGATAGAGGTTTTTAAAGATGCTGTATTTCATTAAAATAATCCACAGGAATGTTCAGATCTTTTTCTTCTATTCCCTCCCAATACTAAGCAAGTTCAAGATTTGCATTCAACTTTCCCATACAGAAACAGAGCATCTTTAAAGAGATAAATCAGCATTAGCTTACTTTTCCGAAAATTCACGTTCAAAATGATGCATGCTCTATTGAAGACAGCAGAGAAAGAGAGAGGACACAAGTTAATCATCTGGTTCTCGTGTCAAAGTAAGAAAAACAGATACTGTTAGCTGAAAAGTTAGTACAAAAAAATCAATATATTCTTATTCACTGACAAGTACGAGGATAGCAGATGGACTATTTCGTATTATATATACACAATACTTTGATTCTGAAAAACGAACCACGATTTGGCATGCTATAAGCATTATTATACTCGATGAACAAACACAACACACATGCTTTCCGTTGCACAGGCCATAATTCAAGCTTTACAGGATTAAAGTGCATTTAGAGAGCTTTAACAAGAAATTTGCAGGAAGATTATCCATGGAAGACAAAATCCATTCTGTTCAAGGAACACTTCCTGTCGTATTAACACCTGTATTTACACTTATGCTGCACGGGTCGGAGACACTCAAGCACTTACTAAAGCATTCAAATTATCTTACAGAGGGGTGAAGGGCAGAAAAGATGCACCATCTGGGTGTGTACGAAACGTATGTTGTACTGAAGGATTCAGAACAAGCAGCACAGAAAAAGACAGCTAAAGCTAAGGACAACTCTCGCACTTTATTCCCACAGGGAAGCAAAAATGGGACCCTCCAAACTTTATTGTAAGAGAGCTCACTGGTATGTTATAGGTTTATTGGATTTGGAGAAGATGCAGTGAAGTTTTAAATAACCCATACCACAGTGTTCTGCATCCTTTCGGATCCTAGCCACGGCTTAGAGCCACAAAGAAAAATAACAGATTTTCAAGGAAGTCAAGAATTGTGCAAGTGGAGAAAAAAAGAATCAGACATTCACGGAAGAATGTCAGAAACACGGGAAGTTACATTGGAATCACTTGCCACAATCTAAACAATGCATTTCAAAGATGTTATTTAGCTGAGTATCTGCAACAACAGCAGCCCAAAATATTCTAGTCAATGAGAAAAGCCCGTGAGAGCCTGAATTTCTAGCAGACCCCTTTCCCCTCAAAGCAGGTCCTGCATTCAGTCCTACAGCTGTCGTTATGAAGGCAGCTGAAGCCAGCAATCATTTTATTTCTTAGTACGTTTTGCACTGACTATACCAAGCCCTCTGCTGCAAGCTAAGTCTCACCAGGCCCTTGTTCAGAGACAAGGCACCTCCCAACACGTGAGAAACCCCCTGAACAAGCTTCTTTCCCCAGGGCATCAGCCTGGAGCCCGTTCCCCTCTGGTCAGTGCCTCTGGCTCCGCACATACCCACACACTGCACTGATTTGGCTGGTTACAGGCCAGGACAAGGGCAAGAGCTTCTCTTGGGGACACTTTTCCATGTCGGCCTTCGTTTTGCCATGGTGTCGTATCAGCAAGAAGCTTTGAGATGCCATGATTCTAAAACAACCATGACCAAACCAGAAAAACAGACTGAAAGCCTCGTTCCCCTTTTGAGAGTCATCTCACCACACTGATACCCACAAGCAAGTTTAGTTTAGAGTTAAATATCCTTAGTAAGTACAAGAAACTGGAAGAGAGATATACAAGCTACACATGCATCACTTGTCACAAAGAAAGTCCTACCATGGGGCCAGTGAGTCCTTCACTGAGTCAGTAATAGCACACTTGTTTAGAATGCTAAAATTACAACAATGCTGGTGAAAAAAAAAAAAAAAAAAAAAAAAAAAAGAGGCGTGCCAGCTTCCCCTTAGAACTCATATCTGAAGTTTCTTCTATGAATTCTACTCAGAAAAGCATTCCTGAAGGTGACACTTGCCTTTACACCTGATAAAAAGGATCAAAGCCATTGGCACTCTAAAGCACTTGCCAATCTGAAAGTGGGTAGGGCCACGTGCACCGACCATGTCAAATGGGGCTGCTCACCACAGGTCACCATGAGCACACTGGCAGCAGGATGACCAACACACTGTGACAATGTGGTCTGAACAACAGCGCCAAATTTTGAGCTCAAACTTCAGCCCTTTTTAGCCATTTGAGCCATGTCTACACATAAACCTACGCAACACGGCCAGAACTTTAAAAAGCTTTCAAACCAAGTTCCAACCAAGTTTCAAGTAAAAATGGAAATAAAAGATAGTTTTATTGGAGAAAAATAAAGTTTTCTAAACATCTGTCCGTTTCGGAGGCATAAGGATTTCTTTTGCCTTTTCAGCTACTTCCTTTTAACACATCCAGAACTTGAAATAAACCCTCCGGCTTAGAGTCAGTACATCCAACAGTGTAACACAGCAACTGTAATTATCTTGTTTAGACTAACCGGGAGAAGTTAGTTCATAAAATATACACTTCAACATACCCTCAACTTGACAAAGAAATGCCTAATTTGAATTTCAGCATGACTGATGTGAATTACATTACACAGAGTGCAGTGTCCTTTGAAAGACCATCCACAGCAAGCAGATGCGATCGCATCGCCTCGGGTAACGAGTTGTGCTGTGCAGAAAGTTCCTGGGACTAGAAATCATACGCCATGAGTCACCATAACAAACAGCAATGCTACGGACTGCTTCCCTTCCAGAAATGTATTCCATTAACACCTTTTGCTGTTAATGTTTGCCAGCACTCCTCTTCTAAGCCTTTCAGACTGAAGCACATCCACTGCCACTCAATATTCAGGTTTGTAATCCTGTAAAAACTTTCACAACCATTTCTACTGCCCACTCAAGCAGATTCTTCACCACTTCCCACCACCTGGCCTAAACATTAGCAAAACTGTTTGCACAGCTACACAGCAAACTGGAAGACAGAACTGGGCAAAAATAATAAAGATACTCTTTTTAACTCAATCTCTAACTTGTTTCCACCAGTTCTACTGGTGTTATCAATGGGCTGTGAGCAGAACTGGGGAGGTTCATGCAGCCTAAGCCATCGAATTTCTCACACCCAAAGGTCCTGAAACTACATCACAGCAGTACAGGTGTAGAGACAATGCACAGAAACAAGGGATCAACAGACAGTATTTCAGAGTCAGCTGACCATTAACATCAGAACAAATGCATACTGCAACACGAGGCCCAGAAAGTGCCTGGGAAGCAGCAATGTCGGTAGGACTGGACTAACAAGAGACTTTGAAGCAAGCACTTATACTCCACGGGTAAATTATGGAATGTATATCTCAAGAAAGGTTATTAAATGAAAAAGCACAGTATTAAAAAGTTCTCTATGGCCCTCCAAAGAAAGCATGTGCCCACATTCAGGCTGACACAAGACCAAGTGTCTGTGTTCCATCCTTGAAAACCACCATCCCTTAACCATCCTTGGGAATAACACCCACAGTTGAGGGGCAGGGAGGGGGGAATAAATTAAAAAAAAAAAAAAAAACCAAAAAAAAAACCAGCACAAAGAAGATGACAAATACCGTAATGACTCTTGAACTTACCTGCTGTAGAGGGCGGAGTGGGGGATGATGGAGATGTTAATGGGGAACTCGCCCCAGAGCCTGCTAAATAAAACAACAGTCTAGTAACTAAAGCTGCGACATTAAAATTCAACACAGTCAGACAAGGCAGATTGTTGGAAAGAGGCCAACTTTATTGACTGAAGATCCAATCCTGCTTCCACTGAAATCTTGGGAAAGATTCCCATTCATAGGAAGAGTGTCACTCAAACCCGATCTGAACAGCGAGGCTTTACAGTACACAGTATCAGAGGAGGTCCAAACACGTAAGAAGCTCACTCAACAGTATTCCTCAATGGGAAACCCTTCTTTTCTGTTGCTTAGGCTGTTGGATTTCAGCGTCCAAATTCTGTTCTCCTTAAGAGTTGTGCCACTGCATGGATGGCACCCCATTTCTCCTTCTAAGAGATGATTTTCAATCAGTTGCTGGACTCCACAGGTTACTCTGATAGCTGTCTATTCCACAATAGGCTGCTTTTGGACACATTTTAGCCAAGCAAGTCTACTCTGTTAAATCGTTTGGTCGTACCAACCATTCCTTCTAACTAAATAAAGACCTGTCAAAGGCTCTGCTGTTTTAGAATTCCATACTGAAGCAGCAATTGAACAGATCATTTTCTCACTCATGTTAACACCTTACTATGGAATACAGATCACCACAGAGTCTCTCCCTAAGGGCTGCATTATTAAATGGCCCAAATAATGGATGTTGTTATTTTTCCACTCAAATACCAAACAGAATGAAGAGACTGATTTTTTTTTGAGGAATGGGGCACAGGAGATAGGACACATTGCTTTACATTAGGCAGCTGAAAATCTACCACTGACAATATTTTTAAGCCCTTGATTTATCTGTTATTAAATACGCATAGCAGTGGTACTAGGCTTTGGTAGTTCAGTATTAACATGTAAATTGATGGTGACCCTGCATCTTTTAAGCCAAAAAATGACAACAAGAACAAAAACATTGACATAGCTGTGTAGAAGCAAGCTCTCCTCACTGTAGTTACCTGAGTTATTTGAGTTGCTGTATTTTGCTGAGTGTTCTTCCCCACTTTCATAGGCAGAGCGCTTTGACTTCTTTAAAATGGAACAAAAGAAACAGAAGATGGGAATGAATAATCGCCTTCCATGATAAGGATTGAACTGACACACAGATCTGTAACAGCCATCCACTGTATCACACAAGGTATATCAAGGCCTAACATCCACCTCCCCACACCCAACACATGCTTGCTGTGATGACAACAGCAGCAAGGCTGTTCTGTGCTCAGATATCTCCAGGCAAGCAACCAGAGCAACTCCAGCGCCCTCTGACCACAAGGGAAAGGCAGAAAACTGACCCACCAAAAAGGGAGAGAAATGCAACAGTGCGCTGCAAGAGCAGACTAATAAAAGCTCTAATCCCCTCACTGGGCAGCAGGAAGCAGCACAGGTTGTCATCTGTGTGTGAGGTGTTAACTAGGACTGTTTTCATACAGCAGCCTTAAACATGTTAAACCATTCACAAGTCAGTTACCATTGTAACTTAAACTTCTCAAAATAAGTATTGCTTAGCTACAGAAGTGAAACCAGTCAGGAAATAGTACAGAAAAACTCAGAACAGAGCGGTGTACCTGAGCTTGTGCATGCTAAACATTCAAACAAGATACAGGTCTTTTTCTGTGTTAGAAACCTATTTAAAGATTGCTTACTTTTCGTGCTAAGATCTTCCTTTTCTTTTTTTCTTCTTCAGAGCCATGATGAGATTGAGCTCTTGTCAGCCTTCTGTGCTGGTGAATCTTCAAAATTAAGTGAAAAGCAGAAAAAAAAACACATTAAGATCTTAAATGTTCTCAAACAAGGCATATGTTTCGGGTACAAGAAAACACCCTGTAGTCACTTTACATATTTAGTTTTCTTTTTTCATTTTTAGTTTTTATCTTTACTGTTGCTGGTAGAGGATGAAGCCTCATGCTGCAGTTAAAATGATCCTTTAACTTAGGAGCCACTGCCTATGAAGCTGCATCACTTATAACAGTGAAATACCATACAACAGCTGCTCTGCAACTCCTCATACTGCATTTTTGGGAAAGAAGTCTGTTAACGAAAGCCTTTATTACTCAAAATCTCTTTTGAGTAAAAACTCACTTTCCCCATGTGAAAGTGAAATGATGAAATGGAACGTCTGTAGGAAATACAGTAAAGAAACGCAGACATTACCAATTTCTGTTCTTCTGTTAATCGCTTTTCCGTGCATTCCTTGGAGGTTTTCAATGCCTCTTTTAGCTTTGTAGGAATCTAACACGGAATGGGGGGGAAAAAATCACAGCACAAAATGTGATAAAGGAAAACACAACTTCACCACTTGAAACACACTGTTCATCTGATCATGTTGCTCACCTAAAGCCCCAAGTTCTGACACTATTCTCTTAGCAAAGGAGAAAAGAAGACCCTGAATGCATGTTTTCCACTCCAAACCTAGCTACAGATCTAACACCAGGGACAAAGAAACACTGAATAATGGCAGGGATATCCTAACGGCAGGGCCAGCTAACTATTCTGACTCACATTACCTAGCAGCCTCTTCTCAGATAAAGCACCATCATTAGTCACACAGATGAACTCCAGGACAGGAACTGCACTTGAACTCATGGGTCACCCCGTGCCCCCCCTTCTAAGGGGTGATATAACGTTCTTGGGTACAGTTCAGCAATGGAATTCAAATACTGATGGCAATCACCATAAAGCCAAATAAAGCCAGGTCTTCTCTACTCTATCTGTCAATTATGTGTAGCTACCCACAGCCTGGCACTTCCACAAACATCAGCAAATCGATGTTCAACTCTACCTTAAACTGTGGTTTCTCGGAGTTTGTTAGCAGGACGTCACTGAATAATCTGTGAGTAGAGGAAACAAAACAAAACAAAACAAGAATATTATTCCCAAGAGATAGAACCACAGTGAGAATACTACTGGTGCTGTTCGTTTAACTCCCTCTTTCTACTTTTCCTTCTCTGTTCTCCTCCCTCAGCCACTGTTTGGGTTTTTTCCACAGGTTTTTAGATACTGCTTTTTATATTCCATGCACTGCTGTAAAACGAGCAGCACCCAACCCTCAGAATGTAGCCACTACTGATGGCAGAGTAAGCAAGACTGTGTGAAGTATTCTGAAAGCTGACAGACCAGGTACAATTATCAAAGGCATTGAAGGTTCCCCCAAAACAGAATGCCTTTTCCTTAAAAGCATATGGATTCTTTAATGACAGAAGATTACCAGGGACTTTATTTTAAATTTCACCTAAACAAAATCATTGCTCTTTTTAAGAAAACTCTCGTAGGAGGAGTATTGTTTCAGCATTAACAAGAACTGCGTAAAAGATCAATGAGTGAACTTAACATTTGAAAATATCTGCATTCTTGTCTGTACTCTGGCAAAGGCAACTAAAGAAAGTATTCTAATATTTGTCGTCTCCCCTCTATGGTATCAGCAGCAACAGCATAAATGATTAATCCTTTTCCATCCAAAACAAAGACACTAGAGGGCAATGGTAGTCTGAAAATAAACTGGTTAGTCCATTTCAAGATACTTTGTTCTGGAGAACATACTAGAAAACTGTCCCAAAAGAGATCTCAAGCCTGGCTCTGAGATAAATATTTCAGAAATCTTTTGTTGCTGTTCGCTACAGAAAATTATCACAGACCTGTATTAGAGAAAACAAATTCACATCTAGAATCAAGTCTATAAGAATAGCATTCCATGAAAAAAAAAATCAGAAATAAAGCAAATTTTAAAAGACTTTTTAAAAAAAAACATGAAAGTTCACCCTTGTTTACAGGGATTTTTTCTGAACCTTTCTGATTACATGCCCTTGCAAAATTAAACAAGTTTATATAGTTATAATAAATTTTAAAAGTTAATATTTAAATTATATTAATTGCTTTAAATTACATTAATTACAGTGCACATCTACATAGAACACTTTCGTGAAGAGTATTGGTATGAAGGGAATGTCGTGTAACATCCTACACATCCGACAGAGTTGGCCATGGATTGCTCAACATGTTTTAAGACCAGTATATCCCGGTACTCAGAGTTTTATAGTATTTCTTCTCTGCTTACATTCTTCTCTCCACCTCCCACCTCCTTTAAGAGCAGAGGAAAGGAGGAGTAGAAGGAATTGAAGGCAGACACATGCCTGCAGTGACTCTTCCAAACCAGGAAACACAAATCTTGGAGCGTGCTCTAAGTGTACAGCAATCTGTATACTCTGAGATCAGACCCAGAATTAGGTATGGGCAATCTGTCATTTATAAGGCTGTGAATCTGGTGCCTCGTATGAAGAAAAAAATAAAAGAACCCCCCACCAGGAACTGTGGTTCTACACTCAGCATGCTGGTGACATGTCGCAGCAGTGGCAGCAGATATTTCCCTGGTAATACTGTCTCCTAATGGCAGGCAGGATGGCACTGCAGGCAGGTGTGATCTCCAGCTCAGTCCTGCACTGACATTGCTCCCTTTCTGCATCCTAGTCTTGCCCCACACCCGCCCTTACCACTTCACTTCATCACTGGGAGGACAGCCTGTAAGAAAATCCATTCTGTCTGCTTCAGAGAATCCCTAAGCCAGTCCTGCAAGAAACCAGCCAGAACTTCCACACAACATTTCATACCCAGACTCAAGTCTAAGTGTCACTGCTGTGCACGGCAAGAGATCTACTTTGCTAGTCATAAGCAATCTTACAGCAAAATCTACCGAAGTAAGTCTAAAGGAGACATGCAAAAAAGACTCCTTATTCTAAATGCTTTAAAACAATCTGTACATTACCTTAACCATGCATGCACTACTTTAATAGCTGGATCAATTTAAACCATAGCACCATGCTAAATAAAACGCATCCAACAGCAGCTTCAACACACCATGAGACAAAATGTTAAACAAGCATCTATCATATTTACAAGGGACAGGTTCTGTAAAGCCCATCAATTTTAAAGCTTCCTGTAGGATACGCTATACATCCCTTAGAATAAGAAGCAAATCTTTCCAAAAAAGAACCAAGAGCAAAAAGGTTCTTCCTCCTAATACAATTAAAAACATCACTGTGAATATAAATCAAGACTTACGGCATCTGTAAGAGCCGTGAAACAGTTGGCATGCCATTCTTCATAGCTTCACAGGTCAGAATGGATTCCAACACAGACACTACCAAAGAAAGAATAAGAATGAACACATTTTTGCACGGCGGGACAGCAAATGATTTAGAATGAACGTCTGGCACTGCTGTGTGATGTTCCCCTAAGTACTGCATCAACTAAGCAGTCATGAAGCTCTGTGGCATGTGGTTTTTATTATAATGTTATATTACACATACAAACTTTTCAAGAATGTTAGACATGAGGCGAGGGAATCCAGGCATCTCATTACTTACTACACACTGCTTTATCACTCAGTTAATAATTAAAACAAAAGTTTTATTTATATGCCACATATATTTCAGGAAGAGCACATTTTCTATTTTTACAAATTACTAATTCTTTCCAGTCACAGGCTGCAAAGATCTTAGGCTGCTATTTCACAGCACTTCAGTTTAGGTAAAATGTAAGAGCACACCCAGGAAGCTGAGACTGATATTTTTTCATTTGTATACTCACCAACAAACACTGATGGTGCAGGAGGGAAACTGTCTACTGGAATCGTATCTGGGGGTCTTCCATATGTCATTTCATACAGTAAGTGTCCAAAGCAATGTACATCAACACCTTCTAAAGTCTGTGGAGGAACAACAAAATAAAAACACAGCTTGCTAGAACTCATCACTTTTTCACAACTGGTTTGAAAACACAATAACCCATTAAAAATGGACTTGCATTTGAAGATAGAAAAGAAAAACCATAAAGACAGTTCCTAACCACAATCACAGCTTCAGCCCAAATGAAATCTTCACGCCTCAAGCTAAAGAAGCTCCTGCTGTGTTTCTGTATGTGTTGGTACAAATGGGATAGCAGTATAGTCAGAAAAACGTGTAAACTTTTTCCGTACAGAGTTCAGAGGGCCATACAGTGATACAAATCACAACCAAGGACATTTTCCTAGCTAAGTCAAACAGCAAAGAATGAGATTCATAATATGCCCAACTGTCACTTTACAGGGAGGTAGATTAAAAAGCAAAAATGCATACCAAAAACCTGAGGACTTTCACCCCTCCTTACGTTTGTACAAGCTTGTACATACATGCCAAGCTCCCAGACAGCACATTTACAAGATTTCTGAATCATATTTAAAGAGAAATGGCTCCTCATATTGGAAGAGGCTTAGAGCTTTGATGGCACTAACAGAGCTGGACTAACCATGAACTTCGGAGTTTCTTTGACAACACAGTAGAACTCGTTTAGCAAGGTTGGCAAGCAGCTGTCTCGTGATGCTGTACGGAATTTATTACAATGAGTAACTTAAAGGCATGACAAGATGCTGGCTAGAAGACTCTATTGCTGCAACAGGGCAAGTTTGTTTTCATATTTTTGTAGGAAGATAATATTTTGCTTTGCAAGCCTTCTGTTAAGAGACACCCTTCAAACAAATAAAAACCAGCTTTTAATAGCTAGACATCTGCAAGCATCTAACCAATTTTCACACTGTCCTCCAAAGACAAGGCTAATTACTAGTCCCACCTAAGGCCAGGTAATAAGCTGTGCTCATTGTACAGACATACAAGTGAAAAACTGTGGTAGACAGTATGCACGTTCCTATGAAATACAAGACCAGGGTGGAAAAAGATCTTAAAACCAACTGCAGTTTACCTCTATTTGTGCCAGCACTGCTGTCACAAAAATACTCACCTGCAGTCCCCTTCTACCTGCTTACCTTTGGCCTCAGCCTCACTCCAGTGTGCTGCAACAAAACTTCTTTGCAGCCAGACAGTGATTTGGAGGAAGCAGAAAAGGGATTGGATGGAGAAAAGTATTAAAGAAAAGGGGTTGAGAGAGGTTTTTTTTCATTCTAGTCAGTCCTCCACAAACAGAAGTTGAGGATAAAGGAATGCATAAGAGTCAGCTGAATTAATTGTCTGAGTCTTACATTAATTTTCCGAAACTGTGAAAAGTATGATCGATAAAATGATGGAAGTCCCAACAAGGAATTTTCTAGATCCAGTAACTTGCAGGGGGGGGGGGGGGCAGATCTTACCTTATAAATAAGGTCTTTTAGTGTCCCTTTTTCACTGAATGGTCTAATAACCAGTGCTGAAGATTCATTGGCAGTGGCAAAAGTGATTTTGTAAATATAGGGATGCTACCAAAAGAAGAAACTGTAGGTAAGTGTTAGATGACAGGTTCTGTAATTCAGTTTTGCTTGATTTACAAGAAAAGCTCTGCCTGTATATTTAAGGTAATAAATTTGATCCTGTCAGTGACATCTGCTCAAGTTATTCAGTCTTAACCAGGAGTAAATGCAAAGAAAATTTCACAAGGACATTGTTCAATTTCCACATAAATTGAAAAATAAGAAAAAAAAAAATCACTATTTTTAACAAAACAGATTGGCCCTTTAGACAAATGAAGAATCCAGCACCATTAGCACTTCTATTTGAGCAGCTTTACTGCAGGTTTAAGTCATGCTAAACCAATAAATTCATTCACAGTTTTATACAACTATGTCACATAAGGAAACTTGGCATTAATAGCTGTCATAACACTTTTTATGTCTTCAGAAATTATTATAACAACTTCCTGCAACTTTGTCAAACCAAATGAGAGAGCACAGCTGGAAGTAAATTACACATGCAACACATATACTAATTGAAAGAGCTAGTTAAGAAAAGACCCCTTGTTCGTGTCTTATTTTAATCCATCCGTTTCAATCTGGTTTGGGGGTTGAGAAGCCTAGTTTTCAGCCTCTTCTGTTGTGCTCATCTGCTGGGTTCCAGGACTGAACAGAGGTTTACCATCCTTCTCAGCCAGTCTCCCACATGCTTAACATCCTTAAAGAGAAACTCCTTTTGGAGTTTTTCAGTTTTTCAGATAGAGATGCCTATTGGATTTATAACGTGGCATTGCACAGGAGCTTTAAAATTGTACAGCCTCCACTGTACTTCTAATAAAATGCTCCTGTCTTATGTTCAAAGAACTGAAAGAGTAACAACACTCATTCCACTGCCTTGTCCACTACTGCCTGAGACAATCCCCAGCACACGGGTTAGCAATTACACCTAGACAGCACTATCCTGACAACTTGGACATGTTGAGGAGTTGAAATAAAAGCTCGTGATCTCACAGTACTGCACAAGAAGGAAAAAAAAAAAAAACAACAAAACAATTAACCACAAGTCTGAATCTCCTGCAATAATCCTGCAGGATTATTATTTGTGCTGAGAACATGTTACTTCACATTGTGTGGGAAATGTAATTAAAAGGCTCACACATCTTCAAATGAAAGCAACTCTAAAATTACAAACTATGTCTACCAGGCTACATGTGCTTTTGCAAGTCCTTGACAAGCACTTTTGTGCTGGCACCATTTAAAAGTTTTCAAGTAATACTCACAGAACAGGAAGAAAGAAGTTTCACAGCATACTGTAAGTCTTTGTCAGACAAGTATTTATCAGGGCCAAGATCAGCCTGAAAATAAATAGGAAAAGAATGGCATCATAATAGATGTTGCATTCCATAAGGCAAACGTGATCTATATTCTGCTCTCACAAATTAAGACAGCTGCTGGAAGGTAGATTTGAAGAGCAAGCAAGGAAATTCCACACACAGAATGAAACTTGAAGAGGCTGAATAAGGCCACGGCTTTACAATACAAAGTGTCCGACCATAAGGAAGTATTATTGCCTCCTTCCTCCCCCAGATCTGACGTGCATTGCCACCACTGAATGAACTCTGCCAGCCCCAAACTGGGGGCTGCGTGCATTGTGAACGGATAAGGCTTAAACCTCCACCTTCTTCCTCTCCAGCAAAATCCCCCTTCCCTTCCTCTGACTGCCGGCTTCAGCAGTATCTGCTCCCCAGCGAAGCCTCACGAACAGCTGTGCTCGTATAATTAAGAGGCCAGCATGTCTCAGCACAGGAGCATAAGTGTCTAGTAACAACAAACTGTTTGGTGTCAATACATGTCTACCTTCAAGGAGCAATTCATGCCTCTCTCACCTATCAGTTCGCCAGTACAACTGAAGAACCAAGGAAGAAAACCCACCCCTTCGAAAAGGATCATCTTACTATTTTCAGCAGGAAAATTTATACCCTGGTGAATAGCTGCATCGTTACAACTAAAGAAACCTGATGTGCAGGAGTGGGAACAGATGACCAGGCACAGAAACTTGCAAACTGGATTTGCTACCAGAGCAAAGAAACACCCACACCACACATCCACCTAAGGGCTTCCAAGGCTCATTCAAACCTCAGCTCCTAAGTCTGTCTCACTGTCACTCACGTATGGTAGCCAATATAAATGAAATAAGCCAGGTTCATTAAGAAAGACTTGAGTATGAAATGAAAGCATATATACCCAGCTTAACATTAGCCGTTCCTTTGGTTGATTCTTAATCTTCATTAAGAAATATTTCTTACGTATACGCCAACCTACAAAAAGAAGAGTCATCAGCAGCTTTAATTAAACACTATTATACCACAAAGCTTACAGGCAGGACAAGGTCTGTAAGCAAAGATACTGTGGCAATCTTAGAACAACTTGTATAGCTGAAAAAAAATAAAAATCAGACAAGTCTTCACACATACATGCTCTTCTTACCTATATCTTTTAATGGTTCTACCACTTCCCACTTTGGTTCTGATCGGAAGAACATTGAAACATGCTGTAAGGCAATTTCTGGAAATAAAAAGGAGAAGAAGAAGAAGAAAGAGAGAAAAAAAAATAATTTTAAGATACTACATAATGTAATTATCCACATATTAGGTAAGGTTCAATGCCAGAAGAAAGCCTGCAGGAATTCAGACTGAAAGTCAGCAAAATCACTTTAAAAGGAAATCAGATAAAAACACAGTTAAAGGCCATTTGCACTTTTAACCTGATAACTCAAATCCAGAGAGAAAACAAAGCAAGCACTGCCTTTGGAAAACTTAGCTTACCTACATTTCCAAGGCTCACCAGCTAAGATTTCCCACACCAGGTGTACATTACATTAGATCAGTAAATGTTTCTGCAATACCCGTAAAAGAGCTTTTACATCTCTTTAACGTGCATCTACATCACTATTACTACAGCTATGTGTTATTCTGCCCTTTTCTGTGCAGGCAAAGGGATTTTGCTATATACCCACACATTTCACAGGGCGGGGGGCAGACACCCTTCTGGTTACTGAGTTCTCCCACAGCTGGGAACACAACTGGTTTATTCATGAAGGAATCTGAGGGGAAAGCTCAGGGAGAAGTGGTGACAGCAGGGGGGAAAAAGGGAATCATGCCAACAAAGGAGTTTTCTCTAACATGGCTTATCTTGGCATAGAAACACAGCAAAAAGGTACGGATACGCTGATCTTTCTGCACTGCATCTTCCCTCTCTAAAAATGTGCTACAAAAAAGAGAGAGAACAGTGCAATAAATATCAGCTCACTGCTCCAGTATCTAAGAAATGACAAACGGGTGGTGTCTCCAAAGACCACAGGCAATGACTTGATTGCAACGAACTTCCCAGCAGCTTGCTGAATAAAATCTTGATGAAAGAGCTCAGAACTAACACAGAAGTCACAGTGTCTCCTAGAGGATTTAAACTGCTTTCTCAGCATTAGCCAGACAAACTGCATCCTTAAAGAGTTACTAATAATTTACAACTCCTCCACAGCTTATCATAAACATCCGGGAAATATTCTTTGCACTTTGAAGCTGAAGACACAAGAATGTTACATAAAGGGGGAGCAAAAAGACAAATGAGAAGGAAGCGGTAAGTTCCTGCTTCAGTAGGCTCTGCTTTTATGAAAACAAGCTTTGCATTTTGCAAAGAGTCAGTTGTTTGCCCGCGGACTAAATCTGTGGAGTGGGTTTCGCCACTAACAGGAAGTTTTTTTCAGTCTGTAAGACAAATATTTAACAATTTCCAGTGGCTGAAGTCAGACAAATTCAAAGAAACAATAATGAAGAGAACTGATCAGCGGGGTATCATTTGAAGGGATGCAGTGATTTTTCTGACATTTGTAGGGAGACAGTGTTTGACTTATTCAGGCCTTGAATACTCAACCTAGCTCAGATAATTAGCTCTAGGAATTCTCACAAGCCAAAGTGATAGTGGCACCTAGACAAGATGACCACAATTGTTCCTGTTGATTTGAAAAACCTCAGAACCACGATGCACGCCAAGATTCAGCGTCCAGAAGATCTGCTGTTTTAACAGAATACAGAGCTGGCAAACTTAACTCCACCTTGCACTCTGGTAGACAAATAATTTCCAACCACCAACCCTCCCCATTTATCACAAACTGTGAAAAAGTAGATGTCACTCTCACCAAACCCCCCTCCCTCAAGTTCTGCTTATACAGATCTTGACCCTCACCTCTCCTCTGTCAAATAATTCAAATATTATCTTGACAATTGCAGCATGATTCATGCACAGAGCTGGAGAAACGTTATCATATGTAATCACGGGCACAGTATGATGGTTTTGAAGGTTGTTCCCCACATCCACCGCCCACACCTCAGTGTAAATGCTTGCCAGCATTCATGGAAGACACACACACATGCTGAAGTGAAACTGTAACGCAGTTTTGCCATTTCTTACTTACCAGTGTAGTTTACAGAATAGCTGTTTGGGTCCAAGAATTTTTTTACCAGTTCACAGTTAGACAGTATGTGATGGGTAGTAATTACATCAAGATAGGCCTGGAGTCCCTTCTGTCTTTCAGCTATGAATTCACGTTCCATATTTCCAATCAATTTTTTTGGAGGAAGAGGTAGACTTAGAGTTGAGATCTTAAAAAGAGAGGAAGAATTACTAACCTTGCTCTCAAAATGGCTCGGGGATATAAATTAGCAACCTAGAAAGACTCTCAGCAGCAAGCTAACTACTGGATAACTCTTTTTGTACCGTGTATACACAAGCTTTTCTGTTTTTTCTAAGTCCTGTTATCAGGGTGAGGCAGTCAGACCACAGCCCGCATCCGACTGTGAAGAGATTAGTAAGTGGAACAACACTGAAGATGTGAGGAGACACATTTTTGCTAGTGAGTCATGCATTTAAGATCACTACACAAAACTTTCAGATACTAAGTGGCTACAATCTTCAGCCAAATTCTTTCTATCACACACCTCCGCCACAGCACGAAGCCAATTCACACCTTACCATTTTCTCTGGATAAGGTTTATGCTTTCTTATTTCATGAAGTGCAGATTAATTACTTTGCTTTGCCTCTACCACCTTTACAGGTAATTTAAAGTCCTTACTGTCAGTATTTTAAATCTGTCATTTCAAATATGGTGCAACTTTTCCATTTTCTCTTCTGAATTTTTTGCTGTACAGTTTTTAAACAGCCATACATCTTTCAACCCAGAAATAGCTGCAATCTACCAGTGGATGTACAGTAGTTGTTTTATGTTGACATAAGTGATCCAAAACTTCAGATAAAATCAGAGAAATACTTCAAAATAGGACAATGAAAAAACATTGCAGGAATTCAAAGCCTTATGTAAGGCAGATCAAAGCGATCATCTTCAGTGTTTATATGCAGTTACGTCATGTGAATTGCCAGAATAAATTTTTCATGTTGTTAACACGTTGTTTTCCTGCAGATCAAAGCACCTGCCTTGGGTATGCTGAATCTCCATGGGAGCTATCTTCAAGAAATATGTAATGCAGGATCAACGACACCAGATGCAATAACCTCATTTCTAAAGCAAACAGTTCACCAGGGAAAAGACAGGGACTTTTGCTGTTTGACCAACTTTCATTTTAACTAGTGGAAAAGAAGTAAAGGATTGGTTCAAACTGGGGCAGAAGTAGCAATCCCTTTCCATTTTTACCTCCTCTTGAACACAGGACTTGTCCTCCCACTAACCTTAGCACTTCTCCAGTTCCTGACTGAAAATCACGGACTGGAAAAGAACTATAACCATGCCTGAATTACAGAAGATGTTAATAAAAATTATCCTATCCACCGAGTGCTTTTTTAATGTTCTTTTACACCCAAGGGGAAAACAAAATAAAAACATTCAGGAATAAACCCTAAACCAACAATATACCACTTACAGCCAGTAATTCATCGATTAGTTTTAACACCAAAGGCATACAGAACTTTCATCTGGCAGACCGCTCTTACTTCAATTCTAAAACATGTTTCTAAACAAACCCTAAATCCATTCCCGGTATTACTCACTTGAAAAGCATGTCAAACCATAATCACCTTCTTGACCTGACAGCTAGCTACAATCAGAGAGAAAAGGACTCTAGTTCAGATGTTTTCAAACCACTATTATTTGTTTAAAACTTACTTCAACAAACCACACATCTGCTATTTTCCAGCAGACAGTAACATTCACCCCCAGGTTTTTGTAGCAACCTGCCAAAACACACAGCACAGCGAGAACACTGCCACAGAAGAGGACCTCACTGAGGTCCTGACCTAGCGAAGACCCTGCGTGCTTTCAATCACGAGCAGTACTTCTCCGTGGCCCCTGCTCAGCACTGGAGTTAGGATGGGCTTTGCCCCAGAAGAACCTGGGAATTAACGTTCTTATCTTCAAACCACAGGCTGCTCAGGAATGTCTGTTCAAAAGCTGCAATAAAATGCTTCACAAAAGCCAGCTATCTTGCTGGGAATACTGTACCAGTAGTTCGCTTGATCGAACAGAAGAGTGGCCAATGATCTCCACACATCTCTGACAAACAAGCGAAGAGGAAGAAATGCAAGACAGTGTGGAAGGAGCTTTTCAACCCAGAACGTAGCTGAGCATTCAGAGAATCTGGTTTGAAACTTCTTGACGCAGATCAGGGCCCCAGACAGAGCTAGCCTGGACAGCTTGGAAATTCTCAATCCTTGCTATTATTATATAGGTAGCACCAGACTGACAGCAGAAAAGTTGCGTTCCAACTCAGCTGCAGCTATGTGTTCAAACACAACCACCCAAACCTACAGAGAGGTCAAGTATATGCCACAAGAACTGGAAGAACTTGGGGCTTTGCACGTCAAAGAAGCTCCAGCAACATTTTAGTTTTAAAGGAAGGAGACTGGGGTTTGGTATTTTCTTACTGTTCATTGCTTTATACTGGTGGGGGTGGTGGTGTTTTGTTTTGTTTGGAGTTTTGTTTGTTTAATTTCAATATACACTAGACTAGAATTTCAAGAGTTTAATAACATGCCGTGGGACTTGAATATTGGGATGAAATATTGTTGCTTAGAGTTCTGAGTGGAAAGAACTGAGGAGTGCTGCATGTCTTAATGGATCAGAAAACTTCAGCTCCAGCATCACAAAGAGCAATTCTTAAAAAACTCCAAAACAGCGGGAGAAAAGAACAATTTCAACATGCCTCTCATCAGCTACTGTCTGCTGTCTCTCAAGCCCTGGCATATAGAACTAGGCTGGAGGAGCAGTGGTGTTTGTTAAAAGCAGAGCTGTGCATTTTTGATAAAGGTTTAAAACTTTCTTCCTGCCCTTCTGCTGGGCAGATAATGAAGAATTACACCTCTTAGGGCCGCTCTCTGTACTAGCCAGGAAAGGCTGTCTCCAAGCAGAGATACCTCTTCACCTTTCCAGACTGTGGAAAGCAGAAATGGGAGTCTGAACAAAGGGTGAGCAGTAGTTTTCACTGAAGGAGACAAAGTGCTAAAGAACACGACCTGTTAATTTAGCCACCTTCTGCACACCCTTCTATCCCAGTCAGAGGTACATCTTCATGGTCCTGTTTTGATCTTTTCTAGCCATCCAAGCAGCTGACATTCTTGTCCCAGATCTTGGTATTTTATATCTGCAAAAATCACTCTCTCATTTCAATTTCCTCCTTGTCCCACTGTGCGAGTTGCTCTCAAATAATCTCCTGAACCCTCCACTTTCATCATTTGCCTCTGTCTCAGACACAAAGGCCTTTTCCTTCCACACTACATCACACATAACCTACTTACCTTCACTTTCTAGACCTTCCACCTAGGCCTAACTTTTCAGTATCTGTCATTTCTGAATTTTAAGTCTTAAAGGTCCATTGCCTTTTCTACTAAAGCCGCCTCATTTGAAAGTTAAATGAGAATGTAACAAAGCTTTTTCATGCCTTAACACATTCTATTCCCCACGGTTAAGAGGAGCTTGTTATAGGTGGCTGCAGAAGTGAACTCTTTCTTCTTTCTAAAACTTGCTCAAAATTCTCTCTCTGTGATTTCTATCAAAACTTGACTATGGTTAAGACCACAATGACCATGATGTACCACGACAACTAATACTATCTCATTTCTTTGTGTTCCCACGAGTGCTTATCTAATCTTAAATCTTGGATTTCTCTGGAGCAGGAGACATCTTTGTATTGCATTTATTCAGCACATCACACAAAAGGTTTCTAGGTTATGATAAAAGTTCCTACGTGCTACTGCACATGAAATAAAATAATTCCACAAGGCAACTGTGTTGCATCTGTTGAATTATGACTAATTTGCCCTCCCATCCACCTCCTAGCATAGGAATCAGTTATAGGAGACTGTCAGAGCGCACAATTCAACATCCTTACGTGTTTCTGCTCGCTGTGGTTCTTCAAGCAAATAGCTGATTTGACTGTGGGGCGGGAAGATGAAGTGGAAGCAGTATTAAGTTCTTGAATTCACACAACATTTAACGAGGAAAAAAAATTTCAGAGTCACAAAAACCTATCCTCAAATCGCACAGTCATTCACTTTATCTTATTTGTCTAGTACTGTGGAAGTCTTGAGTAACAGGTTTCACTCCTGTAGATGCTAGTCACTGCTGCTTCCCCCCTTTTCCCAAACACACTCCTATACCCTGCTTTTTCCCACACAAACTAAAAAGAAATGCTTTTTAGGACAGCAAAAGAAAACACACAGTAAGTCCAGTGTTTAACTAAGGAACACTTTCCAGTGATACAGAAAACCATCACATGATAAGCAGCATCTGGTAGTGCTTTTAGACGAATATAAATAATGAGACCCATAGCACTTCAATGTTGAATTTATAAGGTTGGTATGTGCCTTGGCTTTCTTCAAATCAAAGGAGGAACAAATAATAACACATAAAACCGGAACAAGTCACAGTACTGAAGGGAAAGATTCAGTATCTGCCAGTTTCCTCCATTTCTACATAAATTGGTCCTGTTGATGCTAAAATTAAAATTTTTCAAGAGAAAACATAAGGGTGAAAAAATGTATACATCCAACTTATATATGAAGTCACAGTTTCTCTTTACAGCCACATGAATTTGTCTTTTTTTTTCTTCACTGCAAGATATATATATAAAAGTATCACGAGCCATTTTAAATATATCCCTCTAAATGACATTTTATATTTATGTATCAAGGGGGAAAGTTACCTGCAAGCTATTATTAAGCAAGTCAAAGTCACTGTATCGCCTCACAATCTGCAAAAGATAAAGACAAAATTCAGGAAATATATTGCTTTTCCCATTAGCATTTTACTCTTCAAAATCCCATCAAAGAGAAATAATTCCCAGTTATAATCTTCTTCTTTTAACCATTTTTGTACAAATGCATACCTGCTGGATTTATGTCACGTTGCCAGGGAGCAAAGAAGAGCTTTTAATCACATCTCAACCAGAGCAAAAATGCATTTCTAAACATTATCTTAGAACAGCTTAAAAAAATATTTGCGAGCAGAGTTGTCTGCAAACGTAAGCATTTTTGCCATATTAGATACAACAATTTTTCATAGTCATCTTTATTGCTCCTTCTAGGTTTCACTGGTCGTGTATCAGCAAGGCTGTGATTTTAGCACTAAGGAAGGCAAACCAGCATTTGAGATTTTAAAATGATGGTTGTAGCAACACACAGTAGTAACACAACAGGCAATTTTCCTGGAATATCCACAACAGCAGCAGACAACGTGTCTTCTGCAGCTGGCAGCAATACTGGTTTGCTCTTAGTTTTTGACCAAAAGTATTCAAGCACTTCACATTCTCAATTCCAATCGAACATTTCCCTCCCCAGCTCAAATTTTAAAAGTTAGGAAGAGACAATTCTCAAGCTCTTCCCAAAAAGGCATCCTGGTTACATGAACCACAGTTTAAGAAATTACCTGCCAACTGTTTTCTGCTGAAACTCCTCTCTGAACACGGATTATATATTCCTAATAAAAGGGAAAATGTTATTAGAAATGAGAACTAACGAGCTGAAGAAAGTTATTAGGTACTTCTCCAAATATGACCATTATCCAACTAGGAAACATTCAGAACCAGATTTTAAGTACCAAGGTGAAGGTCAGAGCTGGGTTTGCTCAGACCCATCACTAGCAGCTGTCTCTCTGCTTTACAGAGTGGAAGACAGAGGTCCAAGTGTTTGCAGACCTGTGAAGCACTCAAACAGTTTCATTTAGTGAAGGAAAACGATAGTAAGCGCATAGTCACCACACATCTCTGCTGACCACAGCTAAAGAAACATCTCCTCACCCAGAGCTAACAAGTAGCCCCCAGGAATTACTGCCGCCCTCAGAACAGAATAAATGCCAGCAAATACCTACAGCTGCCCAACCTCTAATTATTTTTGTACAAGAAAGGTGACTGAAAAAGCTTTGGGGCATGCTTGAGTAACTAGAACACAGCAGTTTCTCATGGTGATAATTCTTCGTTTATAATGCATGCTTAATGTTAATTATTTATATATTAACTATGCAGATATATCTAAATCTCAGTGAAACACTTTTAAGTTTCAGGAATTAATTCTCCCACCACAGTCACATTCATAAAGCACGATTATTTTCCACCTCTTCATTTCAAGTTCCACTGCACCTTTTGTAGACTAATACCTGGTCAATACAGCAATATCGTTATTTGAGATTTCTCTAATTACGGCAAGAACAGATGCCAAGTATTTTGTACACCTAATCAGACATACTTCAAGGAAGCTGTGATTTTGTTTACCCCCACTCTAACTTTGAAAACAGCTCTCTTGACATTTCAAAGATCACAAATGAGGCAAGTCCTTTTCCTAGAAAGCCTGTAATCTCCATTTTAGATATTGTTTAATTAGCAACGAACTAAAATTAACGTGGGCTAAGTGTAAGTAACAGAGACTTCCTTTACCACTTGCATATACTATGCTCTACAAATGCAGCTCTTTTTAAGGTCTTATTACACAGATAAACCCACAGCTACATAATTTACATTGAAAAACATGAAAATGGAAAGCCAAAAAGTAAGGTGCTGTCTGAGAAAACGCAACTCCCAACACTGAAGAAAGCTGGAGAGTACCCAGAGTCAGAAGAAGGGGAAGAAGCCACACAGATACCTGTGCTTTTACACTTTCCTTCCAGTTGCACCAGTCTGACTTTGTCAGAGAGGCCTATGTCCCCAGCACCTTTTCAGCACATTCATCTTTTCTGCTGTGCTCGGCCAGGGGTGGCAGGACCCACCACCGGTGCTCCAAGTACCACTAAATCCCTCAGGCTTCCTCACGGAACGCGCTGGGTCACACTGCACACCTGCCCCTACAAAATTCAAAGGGAGAACTAGACATTCTAAACCAAGTACAAATTCAAGCCATGGCTCACAGTATTTCTAAGCTGGAACATGTAAAAAGCATTTTGCATTTGTGTCAAGCGAGGCGTGAGTACCCACCCAGTTATTGCCTGCAGTGCAGCAAGCATCACATGATAAATCATTTGTTATTCAGCTCAGATGACTTCATTCACCCTGGTACAAACTTTCAAATGTATTTTATGTAAAGTGCTGAACGATTTTTTTCGATTTCAGACGCCACCTCATTTTGTTGAGCTGCTTACATCAATAGGAGTCTTACACCAACAAAAAGGACAGATCAGAGCATTATGCACAATTTTTTTCAGGTATTAAAATTAATGCTGCATCCCAAATTATCATGAATAGACAATAATGAAATAACAACAAACAAACAAAGGCATTTCCAGCATCTTGATTTTATATACCAAATTTGTCCATTCTGTAACAATAACTACCTGGCATGTACCTGCATACCACCTAGGTAATTCAACTGATCCATGAAGTATAAATTCAGCCTCACAGTTAAAAATCCACGACAGGCATTTATTAACAACTTTTTTCAGGTACTGTGAAGTGCCTTCAGAACCAAACAAAACTAACTCTCTTCTTTCAGATGAAATTAAAAGCTTGTCCACTGAAAAACATAAATACACCACTGGATGCAAAGAAAGTGGGACACATCAGAGAATCCTTATGTAGAATCAAATTATCATTTAACATTAACCAGCACGAAAAGTAGAGTAAATCAAGAATTATGACTATTCCAAACAAGAGGCAAAGGCAACACTTATCAGATGGCATTACCTTGGGTGTTCACCCTTAACTAATCCAGAATTTATTTACTGAAGTTTCCTTCCAGAGCACAGTGCTGCTCAGGCAAAAACACTACTCTGTTTTCTAAAATTCACTTAAAATAGCCTTTATCAACAGATGTTAAATAGATGTAGCAATCTGGAACCATCTAGCCTTGAGAACAAATTCAAGACCGGTAAGCATGAAAACCAAAGTGATTTAAAATATTTCATGTCCTAGCAGCTTGGTTGGAAATGACAGAAATCCAAGATGTCACAAACCAAACCACGTAACTATTATTCTGGAATTAAAGTGTCTATTTTCAGAAAGTCAGCCTGACACAGTCTCTCCATATTCTCTTCTCTAACCTATTCAAAATTATAATTAAGGTATTTTCCTGCAAAACGAGAAGCCCAAATCCTCATAAATACTAACAAAAATCCACAGAGCTGACTGCAATTCAAGCAGTGTCATTATGTTTGGAAACAGTTTGGAAAGAATTGGTTTGCAACAGAAACCAATTAAAGGGACACCGGGAGACCCAGATTCACCACTAACTTGGCTTTTCCTGTTTTGTGATCACTGCTGTGTTTTGGGAAGTAGGAAGAGGCCAAAAAATTGCAGCAACTGCTTATTCAGCGAGTCTCAAAGGAACGTTGGCTGTTTCTCTGAAAAACCACGTCAGTAACGATTCACCACGATCAGTCATTCATCTTTTCGAGGATTTTGAAAAAACTGAATCATTGCTCAATCCCTTGTAGCACTTACTCTTTATCCAGCGATTAACCTTTTCTATTGCATCCCAAGAAAATGCTCCTGGACAGGCAGAACACACAAATTCATTAGACAACTGTGAAAGCACCTTATTGCAGACAACCACTCCGATCAATATGACAATTGTCTCTTCTGGAGAGCCTAGCGATAAACAACTCAGGGCCTCGGGCTCATTCTCACAGTAAAATCATATTAAAAAAAAACAGATTTAGGCCACAACTATTTTTTCCACACGTACTCAAGCACTTTTTTCCCATCTAGTTCTGCTCTGGCACCCTAAAGCACTCATCAGGTCCCCTCTTTACGTCACAGGGTTCGCAATCTGAAAGCAGGCAGCATCACTCCTCAGACATGGCCGTTAGTTCTACCTGGATGAAAAAGTCCCCACCATACTCACTCCATCAGCACTGACCATAACGAAGAGCTGGCCACCTCAGCACTACCTTGTCAATACAACTAATGAAAAAGCCCAAATGGTTTTCTGAGTTTTTTGTTTTGTTTTGTTTTGTTTTTACCAAAGTTGACAATGAGATTGAAAGCCAAACAATAGCTACAGTAGAAAAGCCATGATAAGAAATACAATCCCATTCCCAATATCTGCCATGGCTGCACATAATCAGCAGACCACAGTATGCTGAGTTTTAGTGACAAGTTGATACTTCCTATTGCCTCTGCACGGCAACAAGCTTGTCTTGGGATTATAATTAGCACCACTGATATATGCTTCCCATAGGACCAAAGAAGAGCTTTCAACTCTGCAAGAAAAAAGCCTAGATGCATAAAAGCCTTTATTACTCTGCCAAATTCTGTTTTGTTTAGGAAAAAAAAAAAAATCTGAATTACGACGATTTTCGTCCGAGACAGCCTGATTTGGGACTAAGACTGTGCCCATAGGAAATAAACAAAAGCACAAGGAACACAGACAGGCACACTCACGATCATTTCTGTTTAGCTGCATCAGCTACCACAGGAAAATATGATGGAAAAGGCTTCAGAAAGGGCTAGTAATTACCAGAGTTCACTCCTCCTGACAATTTTAAGGATCAATGACCAGGCTCAGCGAGGTCTAGGTTGGCTACGGTCACGCAGAAATTCCCATGGCGTTGTTCACTCCTACGTGAACGGCTCAAAATCTTTCCTATGACTCAGTTTACCAAAGAACTTCAAAGGAGCCCTAACAGCTGCTAGTTGGCAACGAAAGGTCTCAGCTTACAGAAGAGCGACAACCTTCTGCTACAGATTTTGCCCACGGGCAGCAAGTTCACTGGCAGCAACTATATGGGAGCCACCACCAAGACAGGCCAGAAAACCATTCCCCAAGACAACCTCCTCGAGTCCCTCCAGACTCCACACAGGTGAGGTTTGTACACCCGCTGACCTTCCTACCAGTACTGCCCCAACCTTGATATTCCACCAGCGGTTCAATATACATTTTTAAAGATGCCAAGCAAAGCAGTTTTACCTACGGGATCATTTCCTGGCTGCTCCAATTAGTTAAGAAAGCGGAAACTGTGCTGGGAGGAGGAGGTCGGGAGTAGGGAAAGCTCTGTGACCCTAGTTGCACGCTGTCATTTCCTAAAATCTTCTTCCTACCACTACAGAGCGCTGGATGGAGTTTCTGAAAAAGAGTATTTTCCAAACACCCACGTGGATCAGTGACAACCACACTGAATTTCTCCAATCTTTTGCCAATAACAGTTTCACAACCACTGCCTCAGATTAACGTTATCCCGAACTTACCCATTTTCATGTAGAGCCAACATTTAGGTGGACTTTCCTCCCAAATTCACCAAGATTAGTCCCTGGCATTCCAGCACTTGTTAAAACACCAGCATCAGCAGCTCAGAGCTGCTCAGATAATTTTGTTAACATTCCTAAGTGAAAGTTACACAGCAAAGCATGTCCAAATGTTTAACAATTGCTGTTTATCATCTTTCCCAGTTATTGAAACAGAAAGCAAAGAGGAAAGAAAGGTTTTTGCAGAGAGAAAATACAAAAGAACAAGTGACAAATTTAGAGATTCATATAATAAAACACAGAGAATCTTGCCAATATTGAGTAATATATTCTATTTTCCCAAGAAAATAGTCTCTATTTCTGGCTCAGGATAGCCAGTCTATTTTTCCACAGATTTCTGCTGTACATCTGTTTAATCCAACAGGCTTGAAAAGCCAACCATTATAAAGATGCAGGTCACCTTCAGGTCACATCAACTAGAAGTTTGAAAGGGCTTTATTTCATAAGCATTAAAGAGAGGAAAGCTTAATTAAGCATGAATACAAGCCCTGCTTAAGTAGGCTGGATTGGAACAATTTCTTGTAAGAAGCTCTTTTAAATGTTTATTTAGAAAACCTCCCATGTGAAAAGTAGCAACAAAATTAGGAAAGTTGCTCAGACTCGGGGACCTCTTCCCTACGGGGCATAGTGTTTCTTTGCCATGGTCCAACCTGCCATTAAGCCCATCTGAGGTATGAGCAGCAACAGCCGTGTTTACCTGCATTTTAAACAACGCACTTGTCCAGGGACATGATACAGTTCCACACACACTGTATCGCTGGTGTAGTAATGAGTGAGCCATTCAAAAAGTGAAAGCTATGAAGTAGGCCAACTGCAGAATAAAAAAATAATAGGGGACACATTTACATGTAATGAAACACTGAACAAGAAAAGCTCTGGAGAGAAACAAGAGAAATAACAGCTTTTCAGTACCCTGCATCACCATGGGCTTCACCAAACCAAATACTCACTATTTTGCAGGAAATATTCGGTAGCCAATAAAAATATTCTAATTATGCTGCAAGATCTCTGAGGCAATGGATTTACTAAGGTAGGATACAGCAGCTAATAGTTTGACTGTGATCTTTGCAGGAGCTACAAACACAATACTAATTTAGTAAGTTCTCTAGTGGAAACCATGAGGTTGGGATATCTAAAATTAGGTGTGATGAAACAGCTATCTTTTCCTAGCTCAAGCTGGGGGGCAGGTGGGATGTAGTCAAGCTTACTCACTAAGCCCACTGGAGGAACTGCATTTCCAAAACCTCGAACAAGTGAACTCTAATAGTCCCCTGTCTAAAGCCACCTCTGAAAGTAACTTCTCTTTTTTTTTTTTTTTTTTTTAATAGTGAAAGCAACCTTGCAGAGATTGAATGTGTTATAAAGCAGATGTGCAAAGTCCTTTACAAGTTTTTAAAATAAATACTACAGTTCTAGAAACATATGGCTCCATTTTTGTAACACAGAACAATACAGGGCAAATATAAATGCTTTTTCAACATTTTTCTAATCTAAAAGCTGTAAGTGTCAACATTCATCATCGCTTTAAGGAAAACTAAAACCTCTGGAAGTACGTTACAAGAGCGATTTATTTCAGCTGTTCATTTTAAAATGCCTTTAAGACAACAATGTACTGCAGCAAAATTGGTTGTTTCACTACTTCAATTTCAACACAAAACGCATGAAAAGGGAAAATCACTTCAGAAAAGAATTAAGGAACGTTCAGAAGTATGTGCATAACTTGCTACTGGGTTCACTGCTGTAAAATGCTCTAAAACTTGTATCTACAGATGTGCACATCTTATTAAGGAATATGTCCAGATTACTGTGGAAGAAAACAGCATCCTATTTCAAGGCCTAGAAAGAAAGTCACTTTTAAATAGTGAATATAAAGATGAAATACTGCAATATGAAGCAAGTTCAACAGCCAAAATGTATTAAAGCTTCAGTGCTGAAAATGCCTCTGTTGTCAGAACACAACATTTAGCATTATAGATGAGACACTCGCAAATAAATTAATATATGGGATGTTATTCCACTCCTACTGAGTTCAAGGAACGGGATGGCAACAAAACAATTTTCTGTGAAACAGTGGGTACACATACCTGCAACCGTGCTTGTGAGAAGGTGCCCAACACACTCCTGGAAGTTACAGTTACTCTTTTTATGCAGTGCTAGTGATTAAAGCGTGTAGCAGGAGAGAGACAAAATGAAGCTGACATGGTTTGCTCGGGTAATTTCAAATTATTAAGTGAGGTACCATTGGAATGTGCCTGCAAATATACATTTATTTGGCTCTCAGAATGAAAAGGACTCCATAAACACTGCACTATAGAACTATTTGTACGTAAGGGCACATTCCAATAAAACTCAGATTGCTTGTAACACACTTAACTGGGGAAACAACTTCTGTAAAAAAGAAAAGGCGTCATTTTCATCTTCAATTGTCACTGGGAATATGCAGACAGAAAACCTCAGCTGACGATTTCTTTGTTGCAACACAAAAGCATGGAGATTATGTACCAGCTGGGATGTACTAACTCAAGTAAGAACTTCCGAGCTCTCTTGACTTGAAAGAAACATGAAGAGCTTGTGAGCATATCAGAAAATTGTGCAGTTGATTTCCTAAAAATCTAAACCCCACACTTACTAGGGGGTTGACATATGCTCTTACTAAGCAAAAAGTGCAAACCCTCAAAAGTACATTTTAAATACCAGCTTTGTGCCTTCTTAGGTTTTCCAGAGAATTCAAGTAAGTATGTAGTAGTTTTGGGTTTTGTTTTCAGTTTTGTTTTTTTAGTTTCACCTTCACCTCCAGGAAACAGAAACTCAGCCTCTTGCCAAGTACAGCCCTTGATTCAGTGCTATTAAGTTTACACTTAACCAGTCTGTGGTATTAAATTTAAATTTAACAGAAGCTGCTTAGAACAATAGACAAGCAGCCTACTAATTTGACACAAGCTTTGGTCTTCTGCATGGTTTTCCACCATGTCTACAGAGCTTTTCCTGAAATTCTTCACCTTTTCCTTAGCTGGTTATTCAGAAGGCTGGCTATTTTCAGCACCCATAGAAGCTTGACATTATTACTGCTTCAGTTGCCATGTTAAAGTTGCACCTAATCTGAGCCTAAACCATCTTCATACAAGTGCTTTTATAATCAATTATCTACAAGAAAAAAAAAATTATAAATGCAAGTTTAAAGCAATTCTTGCAACGCTAAGCATTATAAAATCTTAATAAATGCTGCTGACAAAAGAAAAGAAAATGTATTCATGGATGCCTTTGTATTTCAGCTGTATAATAAGTCTAGCATGTGAAGACCTAGTTCTCCAAACATTAGTTGGGGATGAAGAATTTTACAGATCTACATCTTTTGAAGATACCGCTTTGAGGGGGATGAGGAACAAACCCAAAAAGCATTCAGTTAATGACAACCTACTTCCTTATGTCTATAGCAAAGTAAAATACAGTCTTAACAATCCACAAAAGCACTTCAAACCTTATTTTTTTTTAGACAAGCTTCATTTACACACCTCTTCAAACACAAGGCTCTATTTGTGTGGCTTGCTTAAACCACGAAAGTTCAAATCAGGGACAGCATCACCCACCAATAAACAAATTATCCAGGTACCAGGGACATAAGATGAAGTGTCCAAAATGACAAAATAGTCAACTTGGATCAAATGAGAAACGAAGTCTCTGTTATGGCTTCCTGTATTTTGTTATCCACACTGCCTCTATACAAACCATCTGTGCTACACACACTTCAAGCCATCTTTCAACTATCAACAAGGCTTCTGCAGTAAAACAAACAATTACTAATAGATGTATCTTAGAGACAGATTTTAAATCAAAAGGCACAGTGCTCCAGCACTCTGTTATTAACAAAAGATCAGAACAAATCAGTAGAGATTTTTTTTTTCTGAACATCCGTTAGTAACAGAATACGGAGATGAAAGAGAGAGAGGGGAAAAGCAACATTTGCTATCACACTCACCCAGACAAGACAACACACACAGAGTCTGGATTGAAAAACTACTTCCAAGTGCTCATTCTAAAAGAATTTTGTGACTTTTTTTTTTTCTAACCAGAATCATGCAAACCAAAGGAAATAACACAAAAAGCCATTGTCATTTCCACCAGAAAAAAAAAAAAAAGTGTAATAAGGCACCATGGAAGCAAGTTAACAATGAAACTGTAATCTGGACTGCTAACTGGGGAGTATTAGAAGTTACACAACTTCTCATAGGATTTGGCACACGCACCCCTCAGCTATTGGAACAGGTAAAAAGTATCAGGCTTGTCAGAAAAATAAATAAAACTACTAAGGTTTATAAGAGGAGACGCAACAACTGAGAGCCAGAGCCTGCCAGGTTCACAAGGTCTTCTGGACAGTTTCTCATACGTAACTTCTACTCAGAGAAAGACTGGAATGTTAGTTAGCGTGAGTTCCTCACACAGTAAACACTTCTTAAGTGTAGATTACTGATAGGAAGAGTATTTAATAAGACAGTCTACAGATGAGTTGTATACCCTGTGGTGAACCTACAATTATTGTCATTCGGGTTAAGAGTGTTCATCAGATGCAAGGAACCAGAAAGAGAGATCAACGACCTAGAATGGGAGCTGTGTAAGGGGCAGAGGGAACAACCCTCTCTCCGCTTAGAACACACTCCCTGCTAGCAAACCTGCTGCTCCAGCACCTCCTGGCCTCCTTTTTAGCCCAGCATCCCCTCTCTGCTAAAGCAAGAATTGGAAACGACAGCCAGTCCTTTCTCCGATTCACAGTACTGCCTGGTCACACCAGAAGCGAACTTAGCGTTTAAAGTGGAAATTAACTGCAAACAGGAGATTGTGAAATTCGGGCTATTATTGCATGCCCAGAGAGAGCAGCAGTTCCTATGGAGGTGGTGTGCGCCGGGACTAGACGTCCCAGAAGGATTAATGTGTGACATAAAAGTCCCAGCGGGGCTCATTCCGCTGAGTGTCATCACTCCCCACCACAAAGACAGTGGGGCTGGCCCCTCGGCTCGTCCCCGCAGCTTTACAGCCTCGGCCACAGCCGCACAGCGGGACCCGGCGGCAGACGGGGCCGGTTCCCCTGTAACTCCGCAGCTACTGAAGCGAGGCGGCGAACCCGCCTCTGCTCCGAACGCTGCAGCAGACCCCCAGAGAAACAGAAATTCCGACTTCACTGGAGACAGAAGGCACAAGGCCTCCCCCGGCGCGGACGCGAGCCCCAGAGCACCCGGAGCCCACGCGGAGATGCGCCCCGCCAGCCCCCGGTGGTACCGGCCCCGGGAGCCGGGGCAGGCTGCCGGCGGAAAACCCGCCGAGCAGAGGGAGGAGGAGGAGGAGGAGGAGGAGGAGAAGGAGCCGAACAACTCCCGGCTCGCTGCAGGCAGCGGCAGCACCGCCACATCCCCATCGGGGGG